TTTTCAAGGCTCTTGGCGAGAACTATAATCTTTGCAAAGTCCGCCTGTCTAACCTCACTAAAATGAACGCCGAAGCAGGGCGCTGCTTGTTCACTGTCAGGTAAGTGACCCGAAGGAACTCTGGCCTGGTGAAACAGGCTGGTGCCGTCATCACATCTGGTACACTCGATTGGTATGTCTCTCATGTTTTTATTTCATGCGTAGGGGGGGGGGGGGGGTGCCGTGTTTGATTTTGTGCTATCTGCACGCGTCCATCATACATTAGGTCAAAAGACCATGCGATTCGCATAGACTGTTGGCTCCACAGCGAGAGAGCTGAGCGAGTCACTATGTATTCATGTTGAAAGACCAGGCGTTCAAAAAAAGCCCGAAGCAAGAAGCCAAGCCCACTGGCACGCAGAATTTGTGGCTTCTGTAATGAGAGGGAAGACGCGTTTATTGCTAGTTAGGCTGTTTATGGTCACGGTGGGTGCGGACATGTCGTGGTTGCGGTTGGTGTCTAGCTCCAATCGGCGGGCATAGTCAAATGTTTTCAGTTGGCTTCCCGTTTTCAGGGACCTCCCACTACCAGCTCAGTGGACTGTTGTCCAGCATACAGGCCAGGTGGTAGCCAGGGGGCGTAGTGAAAGCATATACGTAACTTGCGCCAATGTGATAGTTACTTCGAACCTAACTATTATTGTGTTAAGGCAAATTCCGTGTAACATTTGCAAATGTCAGAAAGTGGTCTTCTGCAAGCGACACCAGTCACATGCTCATTTTCTATTAGTTTAATGTGGGAGGTGCTCGAATGTCAAACACAAGATGGGTGGGCTAAGATAGCGTGTTTAACGCTTCGGGTGTCAGTGGTGTTATCTCTTCTGTCCATACTCTCGCGCATACAGAGTTTTAGGCTTGCTATCCAAATTTCACTCAATTTGAAAGTGAACCCTTGTCATACATCCTCAATTTTGCACAAGTGACAAGGGTCACATTTCGCTGGGAAGAAAATTTCAGTACAGTAAATTTTAGTAAAAATAAATATAATTGTAATTTCTATTTGAGACTTCAGGAATGGTTCTACGTTTAAGAAATAAAATGGTGACGCTCAAGTCAATGTCGACGTGCAAGGATTGAGTGCAATCAAAGTAGTTAAGTGCGTCAATTCCTTATGAATTACAATCACAACGTGACAGCCAGTCTACGACCTACAAATTGACGTATCTGGATAGGTCAAAAAATCATTCAATATGATAAGTGAAAACATCTTATGCAACTGCTCAATTTCTGACACTATTATCGACAGCTAGTTGGTGGCGGCAAATGAAAAGATTTATTAACCCTCGAGAGAGGTCGGTTTCGAGGTGAATCGCTCGCCGGGTACGTGAACTGCTATCCCTCCAATAGTTATAGCTCGAAAACACAACGACGACAAAGGGACAAGAACCACACGAGCTCTTGTTGTCTCTTTCTCGTCGTTCTGTTCTCGGGCTATAACTATCGTCATGTCATACGAACTAGCCCTAACTGCCACACTTCTAACCTATCCCTCCGTTCACTTTACGGGGTATACATACGTGCATTATAACATGAGAGAGTCCGCCAGCGGCGCCAGTACCCATTACGGCGGTACACGTTTTTCTGTCTGTTGGCGTCATGTAGCTCGTGATCGTATTACGGGCTCGCTGCTGACCAACAATCCTTCCCTTACTACCTGAATGCATGAAGTCAACCAGAACGAGAACCTAGCTCATTATGATTGAAGGAAAGAAGTGGAAATATTAACGGCTTGTTCGCGTTTTCTTGTTAGACACTATCTCAATTAGAACTAACAGAGCAAGCGCCTCGCTACGAATGTGCTGAGACGTTCTCTGCAGAGTTTCTGTTATCCCTGAGTAACTGTTCTTTGCATCACTCGTGTCGTATCAAACAGGTACACCGCCAACGCACTGGAGAAAGTGTCGCGGCGTCCAGCGCTTGTCAAAGAGCTCGCCGAGAAGGAGGGCATGGCCGTGGACCAAGTGGCCAGGATGCTACGAAGCCGTCCGGTGAGCGTCGACGGGATGCACGACTTCATGAGACTGACCGGCGTCGTCAAGACACGTGTGATGTGTGCGCCAGCTGCCGACGGCTGCGGCTTCCAACTCGAGGACCTGAACGAGGACTGCTGGCGCTTGGTGAGGCAATACCTGAGTTTCGACGATGTGAAGCGCTTCAACGTCGCCTGCCGCTTGGACGACAACCACGGCTAGCTAAACCAGAAGCGAAGGAGTGAGGGCCAAGGGCGAAAAATACGCTGTAACTGTCCTTTCCTACCCTGAGTGCGATTCGTCGCTGTTACAGCATATATGTACGAGTTGTTTCGATATTTGTTTTTCCGGTACCCTTCGGATACTCACATAATTAAGAGGTTGCCTGTAAATAAATTCGCATCAACATTGCACACTTAGCTTCGTCTATCGCATGGGAATCAGTTGTTTTATGCGTACGATATAATCCCTGCGTTATGATGAGGCAACGAGGTGGAGGGGCTGAAGGCGAAAAGCGGAGTTCTCGGAAAACTACGAGCAAGAAAAAAAATTTTAGACACATTTGCACTAGTGGCGCATGTCTGTAGGAACTCCAAAAGGACTTGTAGGAACTCCAAAAGACAGATTGGCGCTGTTCTGTCTTCTCTTCTGCTCTTCCTGCTTCAGGATATGTTTTTTGTGCCTCAGTCTTCTGCACCAAGTCTGTAGGAACTGCGGCACTAGACAGCCTTGGTGGTGGTAGCAACCTAACAAAGATGTCCGGCCAATTTGTGGCCACGGCCTGGCCCCACCCCCGAGGAGAATCGAAGACACCGTCTCTATCTGCCTCACAGGCTTCCTGGATGATCCGCAGTTGATCCTAGAGGTCGGAGCAGCATTGCCCGGCCATCCGCCGCACCGCAGCTTCACCTTGATTGATATGTGGGGTTTAACGTCCCAAAACCACTATATGATTATGAGAGACGCCGTAGTGGAGGGCTCCGGAAATTTAGACCGCCTGGGGTTCTTTACCGTGCACCCAAATCTGAGCACACGGGCCTACAACATTTCCGCCTCCATCGGAAATGCAGCCGCCGCAGCCGGGATTCGAACCCGCGCCCTGCGGGTCAGCAGCCGAGTACCTTAGCCGCTAGACCACCGCGGCGGGGCACCGCAGCTTCACCTTGAGAAGATGCATTTTTTTTTTCTTATATAAGAGAGAATGCTTATAAGCGATTCTAGCGACACCTTGCTTCCGTTTTCTTAGCACGAACATTCGTTATGACGAGGTCTGACATGGCTACACGGACGTATTTCCGTCATGAATACGACGTTGCGAAACGTAAACAGATTGAAATTTGCCGTCGCCAGGCCTCGAACCTGCGACTTCTTGCTCCGCAGCGCGAGACCGGTCACTCGTCCACAGAGCATTTATACGTTGTTATGGATACGAACAGTGAGCTATCTATGTACAATCAGCAAAAGTTAAGCCATTCGGTGCAGCGGCCACTTTTTTTTGTCTGTCGTCGCCACATTACCTAAGCGAAGTTATAAAAATTTGTTTCGAGGATATGTGCTTTTTTAGGCTCACATTTGTCCTTACCTTCTTTGAACTTAATTCAGTGGTATGGCAAAGATACACAGAAGAAAACTGCCACTCATGCAGAATAGCTATAGTTTCGGCCAGCTACCGTTGGTGTTCTTCGGGGCCATAGCGAATTCAGTGCTTTTTCGTCATCGCTGGCCAATGGCTCGAAGGGCACATAGCTCGCACGCGTTCTGAAGTGGTCGACCCGTGCGCAACGATGCGCGAGCGCTTTTCTCCCGATCGATGCCCTTTGCCCGTTTTGTGCTTCAACCACCAGTTTGCTTTGAAATATTTCAGTGATTAAAGCGCGTGCACGTATGTGCACTTTGCCCGCTCCAGCGAAAGGAGCACGCTGCTCACACACGAAGCAGTTATTCGCGCACGTCCCGTCTGTGTGCTTGTGCGTTCTTTTTTTGAGTCTTTGTGTTTGAGCATAGCGCTTTGTGTCGAGCGACGAGAGTTGTTTGTCCGGCCGAACTATGTGTATGCTCATTTAGTGCGTCCTTCCTGCTTCAGGCGCGTGCTGCTATTTGTTTTTTGAACTGCTTGTCATTCTTCACCTTACATTACGATTTGTAGCCGTAGCATTCATTCCTTCACTTTTTCACCGAAACAGTGCACAGTAAATGCTCAACTATATCTGTAAAGAGACGTTTCACTTTGGCGTGTTGTACAATCTCCTAAGACAGAGGTATCAGTCGTCTTTTTTTATTGGAACAACTAATCTATTCAAAGTAGATGTAATTTGTGCGGCCTACGGTCATGTGCGGAACTGCCTGACAGAAAATGTTTAATAATCAAGCACGTTACATGCTACAGGACTTAGGCAATTCCCATTACTCACTACTGGTCCACCGAAAATGAAGAAAGCAATAGGGGCTACCAACGTGACCCTAATGGTCTTCTTGCGACAATCACCTATGGATTGGCTTAAATAGGTTACCAAAATGCACCCACCTTATTGTTGTCTATATGTGCGCAAAGGTTTACGCCCTTAAAAAGAAACAGTTCGTGCCTTCTGGCCAATCTTGAAAAGGTTGTGAGCATACCGAAAATAGTGGCACCGTTTCTTGTTTTCGTTACAGGGTATATCAAGCTGATTTATGACCTGTTGGATCAGAGCCCTTCACCACGGACGTATTCATTAGGTGGTTTTGGGAAGCTAAAGCCCATATATCGATCACTTTCGCAGCGGCACACCTACGCCCGTAAAAGCGTTCACCTGAGGTTCCACCAATAAGGTTTCTTCTAGAGCAACCAGAGCGCCACCGCACACCACTGACGTCATGCTCTTTAACACTGGTGGCGCTTGTCACGTCCATGTCGACTGTTCCGCGTTGATATATACAAAGGGATTCAGTCGTCTCAGCGCGCCATTTCAAGTTTTCTTTCAACGAGGGTGAACCGTTTGCTCGACCACCAAAATGAACGTACGCCTGCGCGCCAACGAACCTGTGAGCAGACTGGCCGAACAGCTGAAAGCCGCTGGCGGAGCATTGGCCGTCGCAGAGTTGGACTTCACGAATTGCGTCGACGTCGACGTCCCGCATCTGCTTCCAGTCATCGCCGAATGCAAGCAGCTGCAACGTCTGCGGTGCGCCGCCTGCGCCATACCATCGAGCGACGTGGTCCGGCTTGTGGTTCAGCAGCTACCACACCTTGTCGAGGTCGAGTTTTCTTGCCTTGGTAGAAGAGATTCCTCGGGTGCCGAGATTGATCCCATCGTACCGTCCGGGAACCCTCGAAGCGGCGGCGCTTCCAACCTGCGACGCGTATACTGCGAAGTGGGCCGGGACAGCAATTTCGCCCGACTGCGTGCCTTAATGGAACACTCTCCAAATGCGGCCCACTTACACGTGCACCTATTGGGCGGCGATTTCTGCAAGGCTGTTCGAGAATGCCACACCCTCATCGTGACGTGTACACGGCTGGAGACGTTCACCTTCACCTCGGAGCTGCCCTCGCCTTTTCAGATCGAGCCGGTTGTTCCGCTCTTTTTCGCCAAGTTTGCCGCAGTCTGTGCAAACATCAGGTACCACTGGTCGAATAACCTCTGGAGTTGCCTTCGACTACAGGACCTCGTGGTTGACAGCGTTGAAAGAAGGTGTATGCCATTTCAAACTGTCCTGGTCGCTATTCAGGATCAGAAAACGCCGGACAGGATTCTTTTGGCTAGCCAGAAGCACACGTGGCAACACGTGCGCCAGCTATGCCTCGTGCTGTTGCCACCAAGCCAGACCTGCGTATACCCAGCCGCAGGCGGCAGTTACCTCGATTGTCTTCGCGTGTTCAGCGCAAGGCTGAGACACGTCGTGGAGGTTAACATAAGCACGTTCCACTTCGCAACAGGCCTCGACGTGAGCGCACTGCTTCAAGAAGGCTCGCTGCAGTTCCTGCAGTCACTCTCGGCTCCCCCTTGCGGGTTTCGCTGCGTCTCGGCTCTGCGCCGTCTGTCGCTACACTGCCCTGACTTCAGGGAACTGGACGTGCGCTTCGAGACGAGGGGCAACTTGTCCCGGTGCGAGGGCTGCGAGGATGAAAGCTCGCTTGTCGCCGAATTTCGCAATTGCACCGGTCCCGCCTTTCCGAATGGACTTGCGATGTTGACCTTGTGCTACGTTCGAGACGTTATGTGCCGGTGGTTGATCGAATGCTGCTGCCCAATGGCCACACTGCGATTGTCATATTGCCCTTCGAAGTTGGACTTCGGGCGTCTGTGTAGCACTCTCGCCGACAGCACCGGGACGAGCTGCTTCATTTTACAGCACCACATATTTCGGTTGGACGACGTGGATTTGCCTGTGAGTATCTATTCCTGTGCGCATAGTCTCTCCTTGCCACGAACGCGATATGTCTCGCTGGCTTAATGTCTTTGAAGCATGTCTACCACGCCAGCTGTATTGAGATTATTTTTACTTCATACGTTACGGTAGTCCACGCTGCCTACTATGTTTCAAGCCTTGTGGGTGTGGCGCAGTTAATACTGATGTGCTTTAATGGTACTAGTTTGTAAGCATCACGGTGCTCTTTTTTCGCGAACTTGCACATTGGCGCGAGCAATCAGTCATAAAACAAAGGCGTAGTATCCCAACCATTTAGTGATTCTCTGCGTCACGACTTTACCAAACAGGGCTATAGGAAGCCCAAGCTCTGATTCGCTCGTTTCAGAAACTCGTCCTTGAACTGTTTTTTCTGTTAAACCATTCATGAAACCGAAATTTCCACGCCGTTCCATTACAGACCAACGTGCGCCGCTTGGCTGATCTCCGGTACCTGTACCTTTTATTGGAAACTCCTCTTTCACCCAATGCGGCATTGCTTGCCGTAACCAATGCCTGCCAGAGCCTACCACAGCTGAAGTGCCTGCACGTTCACTACCCGGACGTCACTGACCCTGCGATTCTTAAGACTATCACGTGGCTACGAGGACTTCGAGGGGTACAGGGTGATTATCGCGTGGTTCAAGATGGCCCCTGCTTCCAAGCTTGTTCGACAGCTACGTTCATCGGACTTATAAAGCCGCTGAACCGTCACATTCAGCCGATGCTGTAACTTGAAGCCGCGATACTTTTATGAATGACACGCAAAAAGTTTGCTGTAGATAGTATCACGTTATCGTTTCTTACGTTTTACATGTGCACTAATAAAGGATCCAGACTGCGTACTTAATGGTTCATCACGGGATTGCTTTTGGCATACTGAAATCTTGTACGAGCCGTCGGTAAGAAATACCAAGCGGACACGAGATTTCTATTAAAACTTTCGCCGACAATTGTCGATGTTGCGAGTAGAATAAGTACGTATACTTCTTAACCACAACTGACCATTTACCTTTTAAGCCTCTTTGCCCCTCTTCTGACGTCCTTGCCTGTCCTTGGAATATTAAGTTAGTTTTAATGACAAGTTCACATACTCTGCGTATGCCGATTCCCTCTTCTTCAATTTGACTCTGGTAACCTGTGCTGTACACTCGTATAGTATCACTGCTTTGTGCTACTTAATAAGCAACCAATCTTCGATATTGTCACGTGGTTGTGACGTTAAAGGAGGCAATAGACGGTTGGTTCAAAACCAAGCTCTGAATCCGGGCAAATTGGCGCCCGCGAAACTCAAGGTCCGACTATTCAGCACAGAGAGCGGCGAGCAGATTGTCGGCGATCGATAAACTGTCACTCGCGGCGGATTTTATACATGTATCATCGAAGATTGGAGTCCTGTCGCTACTCGCCACGTGAGTTTCAGAACAAGCTCAATGGGCGCGTTGGGCTCGTATTTTCATCGGAAGCTTCTAAAATTCACCAGCACACGAAACATGTAAATATTATTTATTGCAGTGTAAAGTCGCGTTTAAATGCAAAGTAACACGCAAGACTTCAGCTAGAGCGTACTAGAGCATGGGAATACTCGGAGCGGCCGCAGCACCAATGTGCAGAACGTGATGGCAAACTGGACCAATCCACTTTGGGTGGTGCGATGGCTGGTGTTCAATCAATCTTCATTTTAAGCGTTGTTCACGCACCGCAAACTGTCAGCGGTGAGTACCATGATGAGCAGAAAGTAAAAAGGTGTGTTCTACGAAGCATGCTGCCGTTTTTACTGAGTGGCATCTGGAGCGGTATCCCTTTTTGTCCTATTAAATTTCGAAAAAGGAATACATTGGCCAAACCGAACAGTGCGTCAAAGACAGGGCCTGACAACACCGTCTCAATGTGAAAAAATAGTTTTGGCAGTCTGAAGCAATCTATCGCAAGGTGTTTGGATGGTATTCAAAGTTCACTGAAGCGAATTTAATCGGCAGAGCGTAAAAAAAACGGAGAGAAGTGATAGAGGCGTGTCACATAAGGCAAAGTGGCGACACCTTCTTCATCACGGTTTCGCTGTCCCTTCAGAATAAGGAGATTAGATTTCTCCAGAACAGGTTATGGTTCGTTAGTTAATAAAAGCTCTAATGCTCGAGAACTCATCATGTTGTGAGAACTCATCATGGTTGTGCTATGAAATCTGCTTTCCACTGTACAATGAAATTACTTTGATGTGTGCCACCCGTCCTGTTCTTCGATGTTATGTGCGCTAGCTCAATTAGCGCCAAAAGTATCATCAGTTATTACCAGTTGTCCGCGCTGATTACAAAAGCAAGAAAGGAAAACTGCCTCATTTATCACGAGCAAAATCATACGCGCGTTTGTTAGATGTTCATTGCGTGCTCAGGGGTCATCAATCATGGGTGAAATTTTCAAGGCGATGGCTCTCTCCCTCCAGTCTGGTCTAATATACAGCATTCCTGACAACAAATAGTAACTATGAAATCAGTGATTACACACTCCTATATTTACCAGCTTTTGGTCTGTCTCTTTCCTGGAGTGAAGATCGGCTGCGAAAGGTGCTTGGAAGTCAACACGAGTTCACCAAGGACGCCGGAATCGTCAAACCCCTCTTTATCCGACAAATCGGTCTATCGATTGTTCGGCTCGATTGCCAACACGCAGGTGTTGGCAATCAAAATTCCTGCCATGGTGACCACATTGTCGTTGGAGGTGAAACTACCAGAGGTGGATGTACTTCGATTAACGTGTGTGTTACAGAACCCCAGATGGCAGAAATTTTCGGGGCCTCTCACTGCGGCACTGGTCTCGAACTCACTCGGGCCAGCAGCCAGCAGTAACACAATTCAACCCTGTAAGGCCTGCGACAGGAAAGAAGAGCAAAGTTGTGGGTGGGAATGGAATGGGTGTTTGTACAAACTGTCTAAAAGCGTAGTCACATTAAAAAGCGTAGCCACATTTAAAAAAGGGACCTTTGCGTATATCTCATTTACGTCCCATTTCTCAAAAGGATTTGGCTCCAAGATTGCAACGTGTTCGTATCGATCTCGAAAACGACTTAAAATGTCGACGCGGTTTCTGAAATATAGCTTTTGCTTCACGGTTATGCTTGAAGGCATGGCGACCATGAGGCGTACCTCACGAAGCAAATGCTTCATACCAGACTTGTCAGTGTAGCTCATGAGCAAACTCGATAAATAAAAATTTATTGCATGGTGAAAACAGTCATGTGAGGGCCGCGGAATGCCCCTTGATGCTCGCGAGCCACGTTTTGTCGACCCCCTGCACTACGACGTCTTTCGTAGTCATGTCGTTTTGGAACGTTGAATTCCAACAACCCTACTTAAAAGCTTGCTCTGCCAACACCCTACTCTTTAAACAATCAAAGCACGTGACTTCGTGCGTAATGACGTGGAGCAGATTACGCACACCCCGAAGGTGGCTAGAGAATGTATGAACATATACGCTCTTGAAAGAGTTGGCCATGTAATTGATTAGTCTGCCTCAGGAGGTACGATAGCATCTACGCTCCTCCGTGACGTCATATTTTCACAGCTTTCGCCTCGTGTCACGCCTTCGATGAATATATCGTCTGTTCGGGAATCACGTGGGAGGCTCGGTTAACATATATTTCGCATTTATCGACCTAACGAAGGCCACTCCGAGCTGTCGTTCAATGAGCGCGAACAGTTCGCCAGATCACAGAAATGAACGTGCGCCTGCGTGCCAACGAACCACTGAGCAAACTGGCCGAGCGGCTGAGCCACGCCGGAGCACCAGCGGCGGTCACAGACTTGGACCTCACCAATTGCATCGACGTCGACGCCCAACAAGTGCTCCCCTTCATCACGCAATGTAAGCAACTCCGACGCTTGATGTTCGTTGCCTGCCCGATTCTGCCCAGCGACGTATTGAAGTTGGCAGTTCAGCTACCCCACCTCGAGGAAATCGAGTTTACCATCCTTCTTCCGGGACGCCTAGAGTTCCTTGAGATGCGACGCCTATCCGCATTGGTGGCCTCTGAAGGCTGCGTGGCTCTGAAACTGCACCGCGTGTATGTTGAAACAGGCCGAAAGCAGAATTTGAAAGTACTGTCTACTTTACTACGTTGCTTCCCAAACGCGAACTACCTACACGTACATCTTGTGTCTGGTCTTTTCCACGAAGCCGTAGAGGAGTGCCCCATCCTCCTCGTAGAACACATCCAACTGGACACGTTCAGGTTGACCTCCGACCTGCGTTCATACATTCTACGTGAACCGCCAGCTGCGTTAGATCTCGCTGCCTACGCCGCTGTTTCCGCAAGCTTTACCTACCAGAAGTCAATAAACTTCCGGAGCTGCACTACCCTACGAGACCTTGTGACCACCAGCGTCATATGCCTCTCTATGCCTTTCCAAATGACCCTGTTCGCGATTGACGACCGCCTCGCGCCTGAATGGTTTCGGGAAGCCAGCTTCAAACACAACTGGAGCAACGTGCGCCAACTCTGTGTCGTACTCTCACCAGCGGATTCGAATTTATTCTATCCAGCTGCGAGGGGCAGGTACAGAGCGAGTCTTGCAATATTTTGCACGCAGCTTGTGCAGCTGGTCGAGCTCAACGTTAGCTCGTTCCATTTTGGACCCAATGTCGACGTGACCATTTTCCTTCAGGACGGTCGTCTGCCATTCCTGCAGTCGCTCTCGGCACCCCCTTGCGGTTTTCGCGACCCGACGGTTCTGCAATGTGTGGCGGCCTGTTGTCCCGACTTCAAGGAACTTGACGTTCGCTTTGAGAGAAAAGACAATGTTTGTCGGTGCTTTGGATGTGAGCGTCGGGAGTTGTTTGTTGAGTTATTTCGCTGCTCTGCCAGTCCCGCCTTTCGGAACGGGCTTGCCAGGCTGACATTGAGTGAGGTGCACGACGCCGCGTGCCAGTGGTTCATCGAGTGCTGCAGGCCAGTGTCCACACTGCGGTTGGCCGGCTGCCCTTTGGAGCTGGACTACGAGCGCATAAGCCGAGCGCTCTGCCACAGCATTGATCCGAGCTGCCTTATTTTAAAGCACCGCCTCCTTCGGTTTGATGACACGGATCTGCTGGTGAGTGCCTTTTGTTGTTGTAGGTACCCTTTCGTTCTCATAAGCGAAAACATCTCGATGCCTTCATGGCGTCAACAACAGCAGCTGTGACGAATGTTATTTTTCTTATGCACCATTGAGGCTCATTCAATTCTTGGTAGCGTTGCATGGCGATGTTTAAGAACTGTGCCTTCATTTGTAGTATTGGTGCGTCGTGATGCACCGCATTGTGCGCTAGCTAGGTTGTTTCGTCTGATACCGATCAATGTTTCCTGTGGTCCTCGTACATCATCCTATCAATACGTACTCCTCTCCCAATCTTCTCCAGCAGGTCGCAGGAATGAATCCCGGCTGCATTTGCGATGGAGGCGGAAGTGTTGTAGGCCCGTGTGCTCATATTTGGGTGCACGTTAAAGAACCTCAGGTGGTCGAAATTTCCGGAGCCCTCCACTACGGCGTCTCTTATAATCTTATGGGGGTTTCGGAAAGTTCAACTCCACATATCAATCAACCAATCTTCTCCAGTTCACTCCGTCCACGGCGACCGGATTCCGCTTTCTCTAAAAACATTGTCAGCACTCCGCTCACTCTGCCTACCGCGACTGCATTTCCTTTCTCGTGGTTACCTATTTGTTACTCCTCTTATCGATCGTTTCGAGCTCCTGCGGTTGACGTGGCTGCGCGTTAGCTGAAGTTTCTGCACGTTTCGAAATGTCTTTATTCGCAAAAGGGCGTTTAGCTGTGTCAACTCCCTTTCCAGATCGCTATCCAGGGATGTCATGGACTTCTTCGATGAACTTATCGGGTCTTGTTTTTGCAGTGCCATTGCGTGTTTTTCTTGTTTTCAATATTTTGAAGAACTTGTCAACCTACTTTTTTTGGTAAAACGTCAGTTGAAAATTCTGTCCTTGAGGGTGTGTGCGCGTGTTCCAGTTTTCGTTCTGTATTCTTAGATCAGTTTACAAGGCTTTTGCTCCCTCTTCAGGTTAATTTTTTTCCACTTGTTTACCTTTCTGTACGCCTGCCCATATTACCATTTTCCTGCGTTGTTCTAATCGCCTTTCGTTCTCCAACACGATGTGTTGTTCTCGGCTTTTCTTTCCACTACATTGTTACCCTTCATTTCCTCTGCGATGTAACGTAAAAGGGCGACCTTTAAAATATTGCTGCTGTTTCTGTCGCATCATGATCAACTTTCTACTCTATTTAGCACACCCAAGATCTTTGGCTACGGACAGCTGCGCTTGATTTTAACAGTCACCTTTGCCCTGTTCGAAGTTCTCATGCTCCGGGGCAGCTATGACCTTCCCACATTGTTTCATTTGCAGTGCAACCTGTTCCGCTTCCCCGACCTCCAGTACTTGTACCTCCTGTTATATACGTGGGCGCCGGAAAGTGTATTGCTGGATTGCGTGGCCTCCGTGCGGCGGAGCCTGCCACTGCTCAAGTGCCTGCACGTCCACTACAGGTGCGAACAGGGCAGCCCCGTGCGTGATAGCGTCACCTGGATACGAAGACAAAGCGGCGGAGTGGGTGAAGATCTGATTAGAAGCGGTCCCTGCTTCCAAAGTTGTTCTACGGCTACTTTCATAGGACTCGCAAAGCCACTGAACCGAGACTTCCAGCCGATGCTGTAGTTTGTCTAACCTGTACTTTTATGGATGACAAGCAATATTTGCTGTATATGTATAGGACATTGCGCCTTGTGTTTATTTGGTACATGTGCAGAAATAAACAGAGCATACTGTGTTATTCTTATTGCTTCATAATGAAATCGCATAGCGAAGCATGAGGCGTGCACGCGAAAAATGTACGAGTGTCCACGTGTTTCAACGACAAATCGTTAACGTGTGTATCGCTAAAGCCTTATCATCGGCCTCGCTGCGCCCGCTGCAAGTCAAGGGCATCTTCCAAGTTTCGACAGTTTGCCCCGCCCGGTTGTTTATGGGGCCATGTTATCACCGTAATATCCTTAATCCCGTCTGCCCATCTTCCTTTCGCGAGCTTGGCTTTCTTTAGAATACAGTCTTGCCCCTAATTACCTGCGGACATCTTGCCTTTGTACTGTATGCCTTGTGCATGCCCATTTCTTCTTACTGATTTCGACTAGTCTCGGCGTCGGTGAAAATTGTACGCATATTAACCGCGCGCATGCATTGCAACATCATGGCTGTGGTGCACTTTGAAGGTGAGCTTGGATGAAGCAATCTTGCAGCTGCCTCGTCACCATTGCAACAAAAAATAACTATAATGCAGGGTAAGCCGACTTCGAAGCCGCGGTAAATTAATATGTACTTTTTTTGCGAACCGTGATATGGCAGCCATTCTGTTGAGTGCCAGATGTCACCAGACCAGTTTCTGTTACTGTAGATCACCCTAATTTCTGCCCTTATGGTGTGCTCCATGACGCATAGATGCAATGAACTGTTGTTCAGCCACGCATGTGCGTCATCAAATATTAAGCAGACACACACTCAAGTACACTTCTCAAGTGCAGAAAAAGCTGACCGGTGGTGTCTTCGTGTCAATGGTGCCAATTTATATTGATCACTCTTCGTCTAAGGAACTACAAGAGAAACGGTGGTTTCAAAACACAGTCGTTTACTGCATCTTCATCGAAATCAATAAAGAACGGGTGCGCAGCGCAAAGGAAAGATAACGAACAATCTTCTTGTGTTACTGAGCAGTTCGTACATCAAGGACAGCGTGAGAGGGTTGAAAAGAACGTTAGGAGGGGCACAATAGATTTATAATCTTGCACCGATAGCTTGACCACAGGAAGTACATGACCGGTGCAATTGGTGAAACGAGAAAGAGGACTTCACCGGTGTCCTTCGATGCCAGAAGGTTGAAAAACTCCACCTTGGTTCTGCGGCGTATTTCGTGCCAGACGGTTGTCGTGTGCACGATGTCCTCTCTTCGGCGACTTCTATAACTGGCTCCCAATTTTTACTTTTCTGCCTCTAGCTTAACCCCTCTCTCTCTCTCTCTCCATTCTTTTTAATTACCCGTCATTCCTTTCCCTCATAAGCTACTGCTGCGGCATCAAAATCGAACTCTGATGCAGTCAGGTGCGGAGTTCCCCTTTTTCTTTTTCTTTTTTTCTATTTATTCACTGTCCTCGCCCGTGCGAGTAAATTTTTGTGAATGTGGCCTGTTTTCTGAAATGAGTGTGATAGAGTGAAACTATACAAAATATCTAACGTTGACAATGTGGGCTCACAAAGCAGACTGTGCATGTCCTTTTCTCATCGCATGATTTCGGGAAGCCGTAATGGTCCCACCGACAATGAATTCATTGTGGGCCACCTAATGAGTACGCGCAGTTCTTTAATCTAAACAGGCATTCAAGAAAAATAATCACTGTGTTTAGATTGACAAACTGCACGCTGAGAACTGTAATGACGTATGTGTAGCTATCATAGGTTCATTATTAGCGGAGAAAATCAGCGTTGAGGTATTGCTTTTTTTTATTTCGCGCCGAAAAATCTGCACCTAATGTCCAGAATTTCAAAATATATTCTTCGTATTTTCACGACAATTTCGCGCTGTAGGTCTCCGAAACTTCGCATGCTCGGCCTATAGAACACTGATGAGAGTCTGCTTGATCTTTATCGTATACGGGTTACATAGGACCTATTGTCGCTAATCCTTGAGTAAACACTCCTGCCTCGTTATCAGCTTACATGGTATACCCAAAAATTGCTTTGCATTTGCTCCGGCAACTGCTTGTCACTGTTTTTTGTGAAAAAGCGATGTGAAGTGCGTCAAATAAAATTTGTGTGAAGCTGCGAAACAAAATGTAGCCAACATTTTCCTTTGTTCGGCTCATGCCGGAGTCAAGTGCTGCGGCAACTACTGCCGTGTTGCGTTGTGCACTGTATGTGCAGTTGTGTGCATTTACTGCAGTGTTACTGTTCTGCGGGTCTTCTCATAATGTTGCTTATATTGTAAGACAGTAGCAGCGTTGGAGTCTCGACGGCGTTTATTAGGCCGAATCGCCTGATCAACATTTCGAACGAAGACGACGTTTTTCGTGATGATGATTATATACAGATGAAGAAGATGAAGGTCAAAAGTTGTCATTATTGTGCTTACACTAATTTCCCCTTCGCGCGGAAGCGGCCAATTAGGCCACTGTTTATGACGGTGGTGTACGGCGCACGAATGGTTTTAAGCGCGACACGTGAACAACCTCCATACCACGAAAACGGCCGTCGGGAGGCATGACAACAGAGGTTACTCGATAGTTAACAGGAGACGTCTGCTCGACTATAGCGTAGAGGCCGATGAAACGTGAGTGAAACTTATCACACAGGTCGGGAACCCGCGTTGGGGTCCACAACAGTACTTCGTCTCCAGTATTGAAGTGAACTACGCAGTGGATGCCATCGTAGCGAGTCTTCCGCTCTTGTTGGCTTGCCTGTGTATTGAGCTGGACGCGTCGGCGACAATCGGCCAGGCGAGAGATTAAGTGCTTCCTCGATGACGATGAAGAGTTCACAGGGACGTCAAAAAAGGAGATGTCAAGCGGAGATGTTGGTTGACGGCCATAGACGAGAAAGAATGGGGAAGAATGGGGAAAGACGAGAAAGCGCCGGAAGTACGAAGCAAGGCCAAGAAAGCTTCGGAGCTCTTTGACTCTTCAATACCACTACGCAGCGCCCGTGGTGCACTGCGTAGCGGTATTGTACGCAAAAGTCACGAATGGCAGGATGGTATCCCAGTTGGTGTGGTCGGCGTTGACATACATAGATATCATGTGGGTCAAAGTTCGTTGGAAGCGCTCTGTGAGGCCGTTAGTCTGGGGATGGTAGCTGGATATCGTCTTATGAATCGTATTACATGCGTGGAGGACTTGTTCGAGTAGTTTTGAGAGAAACGCTTTGTCGCGATCGCTCAATAAGATGCGTGGTGCACCATGTCTTAGAAAGATTGCCCTCAGAAAAAATGTGGCAATGTCCTTTTCCGATCCTGAAGGAAGTACAGCAGTTTCGGCGTACCTTGTTAAGTGGTCAACTGCTGTGACAATCCAGCACTTGCCGCTAGCTGATATTGGTAGCGGTCCGTAGAGGTCAATGCCAATGAAATCGAAGGGAGCGTCAGGACACGGAATAGGTTGTAGAAGACCGGCCGGGGAGGAAGTGGGTCGCTTGCGACGTTGGCATAGCGAGCATGACGCGACATATCGCGCTACGCAGTTGGAAAGGCCAGGCCAGGCTAAACGACTTTAGATGCGTTTGTAGGTTTTAAAAAAACCGAGATGACCACCAGCCTTGGGGTCATCGTGAAACGCCTCCAAAATCTGCGCCCTTAGGGAACGAGGAGCAACAGGAACCCAGCGCTGTCCTTCGGGGTGGAAGACAAAGTGGTAAAGGATGGAGTTTTCAGTCTTGAAGTTCCGTAGCTGTCGATGGGCGCGAGCGTTGGGAGGACGAGAGGAGCCTTGAAGGCACTGCATTATAGAGCGACAGTAAGTGTCGCTGCGTTGGTGGGATGCAAACGTGTCGTTGTTGAAGGTAGAAAGAAAATCGACAGCGGCGAGTGAATGAACTGGCGGAGGCACTTTGATGGGTTCACTCACAGTTGGCGACAGGCCAGGAGTGCTTGATGAGGATTGTAAAGGACAGCGGCTAAGGGCATCGGCATCGTTGTGTTTCTTGCCGGATTTGTATATAACGTCAAACTAGTATTCTTGGAGACGAAGTATCCAGCGACCGAGACGTCCAGACAAATTCTTCAACGTCGACAGCCAGCACAAAGCGTGGTGGTCAGTGATGACGGTAAAGTGGCGGCTGTGAAGATATGGTCGAAACTTCTGGATGGCCCAGAAAACGGCGAGACACTCCTGCTCGGTGATGGTGTAGTTTTTCTCTGCTGCTGTGAGGGTGCGACTTGCGTATGCGATCACACGTTCGTCATAACGCTCTGTTCGTTGCAGAAGTACAGCGCCCAGTCCGTGTCCACTGGCATCAGTATGGAGGAGAGTGGGTGTGGCGTTATCGAAATGACAAAGCACTGGCGCAGACGTGAGGGCACGTTTCAATGTGTCAAAAGCCATTTGGCATTCGTCCGACCATACGTATGACGCTCCCAAAGAAAGGAGTTGGTGAAGTGGCGCAGCAATGGTGGCGAAGTCTTGTATAAAGCGCCGGAAGTAAGACGCAAGGCCAAGAAAGCTTCGGAGCTCTTTGACGCGTTGAGGCACCGGGAAGTGAAGAAAGGCGGTAATCTTGTCGGGATCAGGCCGGATCCCATCTTTGCTGACGAGATCTTCGAGTACTTTAATACTTTTGCTAGCAAAGTGGCACTTCTTGGTGTTGAGCTGAAGGCCAGCAGCTGCGAGACACGTCAGAACTTCATCCAGGCGCTTCAAGTGCTGTTCGAATGTTGAAGAAAATATGACGATGTCGTCAAAGTAACATAAACATGTTTTCCACTTAAGGCCCCGCGATACAGTGTCTATCAGTCATTCAAACGTTGCTGGCGCATTGCCGAGGCCGAAAAGCATGACGTTAAATTCGTAAAGATCATCGGGTGTGGCAAAGGCAGTTTTTTCCTTGTCATCCTAGTGCATTGGAATTTGCCAATAACCGGAGCGCAGGTCAAGGCTCGAAAAATATTCCGCTCCTTGTAAGAAATCTAAGGCATCATCAATGCGAGGCAGGGGATGTACGTCTTTTGTGGTTACTTTGTTTAATGCGCGGTAGTCAACGCAGAACCGCACCGAACCGTCTTTTTTTCTTACGAGAGCG